GCCCTTTCACTGGCGCCCTAAATACAAAACTTTGGCGCGCAAATCGATCTCCTGAGTGCTGAGGCCGGGGTTCAAATCCGGCCTCAGCACACATATCCTAAAACAGTATCGGATAAAAATCTGTTCATCCTTCTTTTTTCTTGCCATTAGCGAGATTTTGCCATTTTCCTGTTTTTCCATGTACTCCACTCGATTTGCCATCCCGTCCAGCACTTTCTGAAAATTGACAATAGAGATCTGACTCTTTCGTCACTTTTTGCTTGTTACTTTCGAAACTTTGTCCCCTCAGTTCCACCTCCATTTTTTCTTCTCGATTTGAGATACTTTTATCTCACAAGGGAAGGATGTCGAAGTGGCGTTCCCATATGAAATGTATACTATCTTATAGAGCGTGGCTGATTCCAAATCTGCTTTCCTTATTTGCAAAGCACTTCTGCGAGGGAAGTTATGGAAATTTTCTGAGGTAAAATTTTAATGAATTGGCTAAAGTAAAAACAGCAGTTGAGGTATATTTTCAGCCCTTGAAAGAAGTAATGACTTGCATGAGTTTGTGAGAAAGGTATTTACTACATAAAACCTTTTGGTAGTAATCGTGGCCTATTTGAGCTCACGGCCTAGAATTCTGAATGATTTTCTTGTGGCGGGGTTCTCAAATTTTTGCATCAAAAAATTCCCATGACCCCACTTCCAGAACTGCTTTGCAGATACAGAAAGCAGGTTCGGAATCAGCGTTTCATGTTCTATAAGACAGTGTACATTTCATACAGGAAAGCCACTTCGACCGAGTATCCTTTCCTTGTCAGATACTCTTTAGATCTCAAAGCCAGATACTTTTTCTCTTTGAACATTCTTCCTCATTTTCTTTTCCATATACTTCACTCGGTCTAAAATCTCTTGCAAAACGTTCTAAAATTTTCCTCATAGATCTATTTTTTGGAAACTAAGGGGTGTATTGTTCAACTGCTTTCGGACGTTTTTGAGCTTCTGTTTATGAAAACGACGTAATAATGCTAACGCGAATTACTCAGTCAGAAACTAAAGGTGCCGAAAATCCGTTGAGACGTTGGGAGAGACCAAATTCAAGAAATGTAATGCTGAAGGCTCCCGGCTGAAATTGAGATCTTACCGCAAGATAATCATTTTCTTCCTTAGCCAAACTCGCGGAAACATTTTGTCTTTGTTGCAGTTCTTTGCCATAACTGTTGTCGAATTTTTAAATCCCTTTCTAGGGGATGTATTCCATTCCTTTTCTTGCTTGCCTTCATCTGCCGCCGAATCTGAGTCTGACTGTTCGGGTACATCGTTAAATATTAGTTTTGATTCGCTCAATGAGTCTGCCACGTAGTTCCCCTCTGAGTCGCTTTGATTCTCTATAGGTTCCATTGACTTCTGCAATTACTTTATATGCCTGACTCTCTCTCAAAAACCGATGATGTATCATAAGGCTTTAGAAAGTTAGTCAGAAATAAAGTGTTTGAGGGGAGGACGAAAAAGATCAGATTAGATCAGACTGGATCAAAGTTGATTGAGGGACCTTATCATTGTTGCAAACAAAGTTGGGGTAAAAAGTTGAGAGGTTGTGATTGAGGGTAAGGAGCAGAGACGAATGCATTAATCCCCTCCTAAAAGAAATTGAAACTTGAATCAACCTTTATTGGTGTCTCAGAGATGTAGATTTCAAGTTGACTACTCATTTTTAAATTTCTACTTATCCTTCACTATTATCCAAAAGTAATGGGGCACCTTTGATATAAGTGCGTTTTTCTGAAACAGAGGATTCAATTATAGTCCAAATTTTGGCAGATGTTATTAGATAGCAAAACCTTCAGGTCGATTTTTATAGATGTGTATTGTCACATGGCATTATTTCCATAAGCGCTTGAAAACAAAGCCATCTTTTCAAGTAAGTCTGAACTTTGAGCAGCACCGCCGCAGTAAAACTGGGAGCTACCAAGGATATCTGCCCAGCAATGTGTGAGGAAACTGTCACCAAATCCACGACAGCCTCATGGTCCCAGCGCTTCACAACAGAAGATATAGCATTGGCTATAAAAAAACATTATTTATTCTCTCGTCAAGGAATCAGATGAGCTCACTCTTGACAGTCGTTATCTGATAGAACTTTTAACGCTTTCTTCATACATATTTAATTTCTCATTTTTAGAAGATTGTAGGCTAAAGGACTTGGCCTGAAAATCTGGCTAAACATCGCACTCTTTTATAAAGTGCCTCTCTTATACGAATAATAAAGAACTTTTGTACATTCAATTAATCATAAGAAAGAGCTTGAAAAGCTCTCTTGACTGATATGTCTTATCTAGGGACTATGGTATACAGAAGCACAAATTCGAAAGGCGTCCCAAAAATTTTGTCTGAAGTCTGCGCAACGTCGCTTGAAGGATTGCGGTTGAGGTGCGGCAAGGTGCTGTCAGGATAACTGCGAAGTCCACTTTATACAAAAACTTTCAATTTGCTGGTAATTTATAGTAGGTCAGAATGAGACCTTGAATGTTCAAAAAATTAAAGTGTCTTATTACTTTTGGATTACCGTAACGCAAGCACTTTAAACTTGAGCACAATCTTATGAACGGCACCAACTAGCGTGATCCCGCGGAGAAGTCGATTCACCGTCTTCAAACACTTTACTTTCTATAATTATGGTGATTACCCACAAACTTTGCTAAGCACCTAGTAGTCTAACATTACTCTTCATGTTTTTTGCAAATAAAGACAGAACAGATTGAGATGGAATTTTTGGGAAACCATTCACAGTTCAGAATCTCAAGTGCATCGATAGAGTTCACGGCTGCGATTTCTCACTTGTTTCTATCAAATACCTGCTCGGCATTGTCCATTAGACACTCAACCCGACTACATGATTGCCTCATAGTTTCCATGGAATAACTTGAAGAAACAACGAGCAGCTGAATAAAGCTTGTGTTGCCGCAGCTATTTTTCAAAAACTTTGAAAATGGTATATAGCTTGTGAGGCATTTCGTTTTCTGGCTTCAAAAACACCTTGCTCCGGTAACCTAAAAAAAGCCAATACATTAACGGGGCGGGGTGGAACAAACTAATAGTAAATACCCCCCCCCCAACATCTTCAAAAACTGACAAGTTTTACGGCCCAACAATCTGTATACCATTCAAAGCCTAGGAAACAAAAATTCAACATTAACCGTCGACTTTTTTCTAGGTCTTCTGAGCCGTACGATATAGAAGATTTTATCGGATTGATATATCAACTGTTTTGATCTGCTCATTTTCTGCTTTCTTATCGCAACGGATATGAAAGCTACGGGAAAGTCGACGGCCATTTATTAATGAAGACTTGCATAAAATAGATAGACATTTAGTGGGTAGGTCTTCGTTGGGCAGAAATTTTATATAAAATGCAGCGTATCTCTCGGAAGAGTGGGGCTAGAGAAAAGTCGATGGTCCAGGTCGAATCTTCGTTTCCTGAGTTTTCGACCGATATAAGATCTGTCGGGCGAGAAACTCGCTAGTTTTCAAAAATTGGGTGGAGATATAAGCTATCAGCTCGCTCCATCCCCCCTCCAATGTATTGAATTTGTGGGTCGCGGAGCAAGAACTTTTTGAAGTCAGGAAGCGAAATACCCCAACAAGCTTTATACCGTTCACCTTAGGGAGCGGAGATTCGTCATAGACTGCCGACTTTAACTCCACTTTACCAGGAGATAACTGCATTTTATCTAAAATAATGTCCATTTTCAACAGTTGATTTCTGCCTGATGAAGACCTAACTGCCGCTGATTTTCTATCTACGTTACAGAGCAGGTCTTCATTAATAAAAGTAGACCGTTGACTTTCTTGTAGCTTTCGTATTGCGAAAATGAGTACATCAAATCACTTGATACATCGGCCAGATAAAAATCTCCATATCTCACTGCTCAAATGACCTAGTAAAAAGTCGACGATCTACGTCGATTCTCTATAATCTATGATTTCAGCTTTCGAATAGTGTGTAGCTCAAAAAAGCCTCGCTACTTTTAGGAGTATGCCGATTGGTATGTTATGCTGTCGCTATCCCCCCTCCCCCAACTCGGCAATTCAAAAAAAAAGAAAAAAAGAAAAATTTTTTGGGGTGCTTCTCAAATTTTTTACGGGCCCATAGCCCCTAAAATCTTGAAAGATTTTTTACAGAGTTAATGTGAATTTTTAAAGAATTTAAAAAATTATTTAAGTTATTTACAAGAATAAACAAGTCACTTGCACATTTTTATAACCTATATGAGTAAATTTCAAAAATTTGGCGACCATTCTCGGGGGGGGCCTCTGTCCGCCACTGATATACCCATTTTCTCAAAACATTAACTCTGAGCACTCAAAAATCTTATTTTTCGACTTCAATGAAATTGACTCTTAAAGTCAATACGAGCTGCAAAAAACAAACATGGTTGGCTGCAGAGTACGTCTATAGGCAGCTGCAAAAGTCCAGAATTTGCAAGTTTTTTAATCGTCGAAAAAATTTTTTTGTAATTGTTAAGCATACAATCAATCAAATATGGCTAGCAATAGGCCACGTGTATCACTAGCTGTAGGAGTTCAACGTTCGCATCTTTTTAGATCGTCCAAAAAATTATCCACCAATATCTAAAACAATTATAATAGTAGGATCGCGCTGTTCTGTGGATATCACTTGCTTACCATGTTATCCCCCAGTTTCTTTATGTCTCTGCTCGATTTGCAGTTTCATCCAGCGCATTCTACAATATTGATAATAATAATAGTGAGGTATTGCTGTTTTGATGTTCACTCTTATTACTTGAGAGACATTGTTGTTTCTCATTTCCATTGCCATGAGCTCTAATAGTTCTGCAATCTCGTCCAACATTATCTAAAATTATGACATTGAGATTTCGTTATTCTGCCGCTATCCCTTGATACTTGCGAGACCTTTCCATCTTTCAACTCCTTTTCAACGCTTTCGACTCGGCTTGCAATTTTGTCAAGCATCTTCTATAATAATAATAGTAATATCATGCTGTCATGCCGGTATTCCGTACCAATTGCAAGTCGATTCCGTCCCTCGATTCATTTTCCATGTTTTCCGCTCGAAAAGCAACGTTTTCCAGCACAGGTTCAATTTCCAATATTTTAAGCCATATTCTGAAATCTCAACAAAAGTAGATTTTCAATGTTTTCATTACTTTACCTTACTACTAAAGGTCGCCCTTCATCGTCCACAAGATTCCCACCCAAATGCTGTGCTTGATTTGGAGCCTCTACCATATTCTGAAATGGCAATACTAGCAACATCCTTCTACTGTACAATTCTTTGCTTGGCAATGGCGAAACTTTTACCATCAAGCATTTCCCCTATTTCCTTTTCTATGCACCTTAATTACCACTTTCAGTCTCGTCCACCACTCCCTAAAATTGTAGCAAGAGTGGCAAGTTGATGTACAGATCAGTCTGTTTCCATTTCTGTTTACCAAAAAAGGTTTGCTTTGTCATGGAAATTTTTTCAGATTATTCATTGTCAGAAAAAAATTTCTAAACAGCATATTGAGTTTTCCTTGTAAAGGGGCTTCAGATATAAGATTTTCGAATTCTAAGGGAAACTGAAATTTGCACCCTTTATTAAAACTACGCAAAGCGTCTCATACATTCAACCAATTGTGCTTCACGAATCTTTCCTTCGAACATCCTGGAGATTTCGAAAATGCCTGTCGTTCAGCGGATTCTATGTATTTTTCAAGTATATCGCTTATAAATACGTGGAGATCTAAAGTAGCCATAATTTAATTTTCTCCATGAGCTCACCCGATGGTAAGTGGGAATGCAAAAAATCGAAATTGTCAAAGGCACTCACTTGTCCGGATCGAAAAATCCAAGCCAACATCCTAAACATCGTGAAAAATCTCAAGATAAAAGAGATTCAGTTGATGGTGCTCTAAATAGGGCATAAAGGGTCCGGCATGGTTCGAGGTCAAACTGGACTTCCTTTTTGAGGTTTAAAAGCAACGGGGATATCGTTTTTATAAGGTCCTGGACGAAGCACCGAAAAAAAACGACGAACATGTAGGGTTTTAGGTTGAACGTGTTCTTTGGCAAGCGCGCGAATTTCAAACATAAGACCCAAACAAACAGATGGCTTGTTTACAACGCACAAACAATCACATAACGCCGAATATGGGCTATCTATATGTACAATATTACTCCAAACAATATTATGTAAAAAGTTTCTAAAACTTATGTGTTCTAATCGTTCTCGAATTTGTTGGTAGACCAACACCAAACCAACTGGGTTGGTTCGGAGCATAAATATCGGAGAGTTCACATAAGTTTTGGACCTTTTTGATCTGGAAGAAGAGAACACTTCAAAATCTATCATATAGCGAAGCGAGCGAATCAAACCATTGCTTCTCCCCTTTTGAGCCAAAAACGGTGAAAACCAAAGCATTGATAGATATCGCACCCCAATCACATACGGTGTCCTTTAAACTAGGTGGCGAAAAATGCATCGCCAGATTGTTGAGGACACAGATTTGGTTGGCCTAAGAGGTTTTCAACGTTCTGAACATTAAAATGGTACCATACTCAAGACTGAATCGACTCAGAATGTTTTTCTTTGCTTTTTTGTTATATTAGTTACCTCAAAACTCGCTTTTTTTGCTTTTTTATCATTATGTTTTGTTATGTTGATTGAACAAGGGTTTTCCTACTGGCTTTTACGTCAAAAGCGACTTCGTAAACTTTCGCGAATTTATAAGGGACATCGTCTCCAAAAATGCTCCAAACCAACGCATGCCGGGCACTGCATATTAGGTTGTATCACAATTTTTTACCGTTCTCCAGCGATAAGTCATATCCTTTTTTCCCATAGACTAGGCACTAGTTAACAGGGTAAAACAAGCTCAATAGGCTTTTCTGTAAATAATGGAAATGTAGTTTGAATGCTTTCTACAAGTTTGATTTTTTTTTCTCTCAAAATCAGTAATCTCTTATACTACAGTACTATTGGGTACGCCTTTGAAGAAGTGCGAATCAACAACTATTGTCATTCTATTATAATACATGTTGATACAGTCTTTTCACAAAGACTTGGTTGCTGTATTTCACGGCTGAGGCGCTGAGTCTGCAATAGCTTTTTGATCATATCAGCAGTTGCCTTCCTAGTTGAGCTTTAGGTGTAGGGGTCCTCCGAGTTTTTGTTCCAACGTCAAAACAGCAAGATCTACGCTCTCTCCAGCGCAACTATGAGCACAATTACGCTGGACTGTTACATGAAAATTTAACCTTCAAGGCTTCACGCTAAACAATTTAAGCCCTAGCGTCGAGTAGCAATTGGAATTTTTTTAACCAATTTTTGTTTCAAGCTTGCTGCCACAGCTTTTCTGCAGATTTGCAAAAGCGACTAGTTTCCATGATTGTTGCTTTTTTTGATAGTTGCAGGGAATTTTCAGACTTTTCTGCTCTTTTTTTTTTGCAAATTAGGTATTTTATTGACGAAAAAATACAGTAGCTTTTAATCGAAGAAAGATAGATTACCAGAGCAATTTTACTTTGGCACTCAACTTCTGGCGAAATTTGAAAAGAAAGACATTTTGTTACGTGTTCTTAGCTTCGAGTTAGGTTAATCTATTACGACATCAAGTTTTTTTAAAGCGAGTTCGATTTATCAAAACAAATGCTTTGTTGAACCTTTATCCTTGCTTTTACCACTATCAGTGGAAGTGCATTTGGTCAGCTCGTTCGTACCTAGAGATTTCATATGAAATATCTTTTTGAGCTGATAGTTTGCAGGACATGCATCAGTTTCGCATTAATCTGCTATTCTTGTGTAATTGCAGACTATTACGCTTTGTTTAACTCATGTTTTTTTCAGTTAAGATTAGTTGCACCGTACGTATATCACCATTCAATGAATAGATTATGTATTAGGTTGTCCGGAAATTAATGCCCGTTTTGAATTTCAACAGCAATAAGTCATACACTTCTCACTTCTGAATGGATTGCAAAGTACCGTTCGATAGAGCAATGCAAGCTCTACAAGATGGCTATCCTGTTTTGCAACAGCTCTCATCCACCTCGAGTTTCGAGCCAATAACTAAAAAGACTCAGCAGCCCGAAAAATCGAAAAAAATCGTAACTCTGTACATAAAAATCCTACAAAAATTCTAACTTGCTCACGTAAACACAATCCACATAAAACATCTATATACGCCTTTGCTGTATTTTTTCCTGTGTTAAAAATTAAGAAAACGGAAGTTTTCCTGCATTTGCCAAAGTGATGCTGTGCCGTCCCCACATAGGTAGTTGTGTACCAGAAGCCTCTAGAAGTACAGACTTAAATTCTCAGCTCTTTACAAGCTTTAGTTCTCGAGAAATACCGAATATAGCTTTCCTTAGTTAGGTGGTCCAAGCGAAAATTCAAATTACTCGAGAACTAAAGCTTGTAGAGAGCTGAAAATTTAAGTCTGTACTTCTAGAGGCTTGTGGTACACAACTACCTACGTGGGGACGGCACAGCATCACTTTGGCAAATGCACGAAAATTTCCGTTTTCTTAATTTCTAACACAGGAAAAAATATGGCAAAGGCGTATATAGGTGTTTTATGTGGATTGTGTTTACGTGAGCAATTTGGAATTTTTGTAGGATTGTTATGAACAGAGTTACGATTTTTTTCGATTTTTCGGGCTGCTGAGTCTTTTTAGTTTTTGGCTCGAAACTCGAGGTGGATGAGAGCTGTTGCAAAACAGGATAGCCATCTTGTAGAGCTTGCTTTGCTCTATCGAATGGTACCTTGAATGCTAATCAGGAATGAAAAGTGTATGACTTATTGCGGTTGAAATTCAAAACGGGCATTAATTTCCGGACAACCTAATACATATTAGGTTGGTGCAAAAGTTCCTTCCGCCCAAATTCAAAAATTCATAACTTGTTGAATTCTCGACGAATCTGCAAGATCTGAATTTTGTATAAGAGAGAAGGTCATGCTCTTTGCATCTGCACTTGAACTGTTCGTTAATGTTTACAAATTAAAGAGATAAAAGCTCAAAACCAAAATCACTCAAAATTTGAATTTTTCGTGTAGGGTCATAAAAAATTGGAAACCTGCAACAAAAATCGGAGCAGTCAGTATTGTAGGTTGTTTCACTAGCTCTTTCTAACGCTGCAAAGTTTGCGCTGATTGAGCACCTCTATCAAAAGTTATGAATTTCGAGCAAGCAATACAAAAGGGCGATTTTGATTTATTTTGGCATTTTTCAGGAAAATCATAACTTTTCGTAGAGACGCTCAATCGACGCAAACTTTGCACCATTAGAAAGAGCTGGTAAAAGAACCGACAACACTGACTGCTCCAATTTTTGTTGCAGGTTTCCGGTTTTTTATGAACCTACACGAAAAATTTAAATTTTGAGCGATTTTGATTTTGTGCTTCTATCTCCTTAATTTGTAAACATTAACGAACAGTTCAGGCACAGATGCAAAGAGCATGAGTTTCTCTCTTACGCAAAATTTAGATATTGCAGATTCGTTGAGAATTCAACAAGTTATGAATTTTTGAATTTGGGCGGAAAGAACTTTTGCACCAACCTAATATAATGTTCTATTACAGTCTAAAATTAAAATATTTATATTGTTCTATCGTAGTTTAGAACTCAAGGTTTTGTTTCGGCTGTTTCTCTTCTACTCGCGCGTTCGAAAGAAGATAGCTTAGGTATATTACTGCACTCATTTTCATCCAAAAATCGCAAATATTTGTGACTAGTGCATTTCATTCTTGCAACTTAGGTGTTTAATTACCATCTTCCTTTCTTTTTCGTTGAAATATGAACTCAGGAAATTTCCACGATTTCTTAAAACTTGCATAAAGTGTAGCCTCCTTCTTTTTTGAAGCGAGGCACAACGAAGCATGGAAGGAGAGCGTACAAAAAATGAGAAGCGCTTGCTGCGAGGAATTCACTCCGTTTTATAGTTTTGATCAAGACTGAAGAGTGAAAAAAGTCGTTATGAAAGCTTCAAGTCATATAGAGATCAAAATTGCAACAGTTTCACCAATATTTTTACGACATCGCAGCCATAAAGAGACTAGCACTCGATCATGACTAAGAATTTTGTCACTTTAAGTGTCTATCACTAATTCCTCATATGCGCAGCTGACTATGAATGATATGAATTGAAAACTCCAAATTTTTTACTAGAATAAAGACAGTATCAAGTCATTATAAGAGTAGTTCAGTAATTTTTCTCTTCTCCATTACATTCCTGAAAACGACTGTGA